ACTACACTTGTACTCACTTCACTATTCTGCTCCTCACACCACCTGGTGGCCGCAGTAGAGTCCATATTGCTCTCCTGGCTCATATCCCTAAACAAGACTAACACTTCCTTACTAAGGGGAGGGGCCAGGCAGGATATCCCAGACGAGCCCCCACGTGTAGCGCTACCTCCTCAGAGGCCGCCAATGCCCAGGCCCTCCCGGCCACATCCCCCCTTGTCCAGCCTTGCAGCAATGTTCTTTAGAGATCGATGAGGTGTCTTACAACCGGAACTCACGCAGCATTAATGGGTGGCAGGCTCTTCTTGTTGAAGCAGGACTTTCAGGCACGAACTTAACCAGTCACAGTGGTTGATACTCTGAAGATGTATATAACAGCTCAGGGCTGCTTTAGCAGCAGGAGTAACAGGCCCCTGAGTAATCGTTCAGAATCCGATGAAATGGGGGGGGGGGTAAACCCCGGCTCCAGATGGTAATAATAACAACGACGGCCAGTATGTTATAGCAATGGCTCATCCCCCAGGGCAACTCCCCCCACAATGTCCCAGCACCTATGCCAGCAACGATGGCCACAGTCCAGATGCCTCCAAAGTCCACAACAACAGTTGGCAGCAACAATTGGCACCACCAGTCTCTCTCCTCCTAGTGCTTCTTCTCTAGGATTCTTCTTCAGGTTTCAGGATTCAAAAACCACCCCCCTCCCTTACTCTTTATTATTAAAATCCGAGGCTAGAAACCCCAGCCAACTCCCTTACTTCACACTCTTGCTTGCCTCCGTTTCAGATATCCTCCCACGGAGGAAGCAATAAAACTTCACTCTATCTAGCCCCTATTTAAAATACCCTTGATAGAAAAATAAAGTAAGCTTCCAGACCTTCTCTTCCCAACTCCAACCACCCCGGCCTTCTCCTTTTCTTTCCTTTTCTATCCTTCCTCCTTCCTCCTTCCACTCACGCCAGCCACACCCAAGCCAACTGCAGCTGTCCCAATCTTCCCCTTCCCAGTCAAGCTCCTGCAAGCACTCCCGGGCAGTCCCCGCTACACACCCATTCAAAGTTACACGATAAGCATCCCCTAGTGCCGTGATGCCGAACCTATGGCACACGTGCCACAGGTGGCACGCAGAGCCCTTTCTGTGGGCACGCGCGCCAATGCCCCAGAGGGATGCGGGGTGGGGCTGTTCCCCTCCCCCTCTCCATGCGCACCTGTCTAGTGGGAGCTGGAGAGGGCAGGGAAACCAAATCCAGCAGCGCTCTCGGTCTTTCTCTCTCTGCACCGGGAGTCTGGGAGCAGCTGTGACAGCTGGGCAGGGAGAGGGAAACCTATAAAAGGAGGTTTTGGCTTCACTTGTCAAAAAGTTGCAAAAGGTGATCACATGACCCTGGGACACTGACCGTCATAAGTATGAATCAGTTGCCAAGCATCCAAATGTAAATCACATAACCCTGGGGATGCTGCAACAGTCATAAGTGTGAAAAATGATCAAAAGTCACTTTTTTCAGTGCTGTTGTAACTTTGAACAGTCATTAAGTGAATTGTTGTAAATTGAGGACTACTTGTACTTTATCACTTTTTTCCTTTTTTGATGAAGTTTTTGACATCTTGCTAGGCGACTGGTGGTACTCGAATACTGCAGCCACGCCCACCCAGTGGGCCACACCCACCTGGCACCCAGCAATAAATAAGTGGGTTTTGAGTTGCAGTTTGGGCACTCGGTCTCTAAAAGGTTCGCCATCATTGCCCTAATGTTTACGAGCAAGTCCCGAAATTACGAATGTTGCAGCACCATAGCAGTTGTTCGCCCTTACGAATGACTGCAGAGGCTCTGCAACATTCACCCTATTCCCCCCCTTCCCACAACTGCTTCCATCTCCCATCCTACCACTCCAGACTCACTTACCTTGCAAAGATCTGTCTCCTCTCTGCCACGGTTTCTTTGCCTTTGAGGGAGAGGAGAGTCGATGGAAGCTCTTTTGAAGAAAATGGATGCCTGAACTCTGAGATCACAAACCCCTGAAACTTTCATTCTCTGCATGAAAAGTGCTTGTGGTGCCTGTCTCCTGCTCCTCCCCCCCATTCCTTTCTGCCACCATCGGAACACAATCCCCCCCCCCAACCAAGAAGAAGAAATCGTTTCTGTTTCAGGCCCAGTACTCTTTAACATCTTCATAAACGATTTAAATGAGAAGGGGAACTCATCAAATTTTCAGATAACACTAAACTGACAAGAATAGCCAACAGCCCAGAAGATAGGCTCAAGATCCAGATGGATCTCGACAAACTTGAACACTGGGCCCTATCTAATAAAATGAAATTCAAGATAGAGAAAAGTAAGGTTTTATACTTAGGCAAGAAAAATCAAATGTACATGTAGAGATTAGGTGAAACCTGGCTCAATAGCAGTAACTGTGAAAGGATCTTGGAGTCCTAGTGGAAATCACTTAACTATGAGCCAGCAGTGTGCAGCAGCAGCCAAAAAAGCCAACACAATCCTACATTACATTAATAGCAGAATATAATCAAGATCAAAGCCTTAGTAAGACCACATGTAGAATATTGTATCCAGTTTTGATCAACATATTATAAAAAAGATGTAGAGACTCTGGAAAGAGTGCAGAAAAGAGGAACAAAGATGATTTGGGGGCTGGAGCTAAAACATATAAAGAACAGTTATAGGAATTGGGTTTCTCTAGTCTAGTTAAAAGAAGGACCAAGGATGACATGATAGGACTGTTCCAATATTTGAAGCACTGCCACAAAGAAGAAGAGGTCAACCTATCAAAGTCCCAGAAAGCAAGAGAAGAAACAATGGATGGAAACTAATCAAGAGAAGCACCCTAGAACTAAGCAGAAATTTCCTAACAATGAGAACAATTAACCAGTGAAACGGCTTGCCTTTAGAAGTTGTGGGTGCTTCATCACTGGAGGCTTTTAAGAAAAGACTGGACAGCCACTTGTCTGGAATGATATAGGGTTTCCTGCTTAAGCAAGGGATTGGACTAGATCTCCAAGGTTCCTTCCAACTCAGTTTGTTATTCTGTTTTTCTTCTGCAATCACGGCCACCGTAATGGCTTTTCCCCCCTCACTGTGAACATCCAAGACTCCCAGCATCAATTTGCAGATTTACAAAAAAAAAAAAAGAGATTTCGTTATTCCACAAAACTCTGAACCAAAATGCATGCGACAGATGTTCAAGGCACCATTGGGAGCTGGAAAACAGTTTCCTCAACACAGTCTTGTTTGCTCACCCTGTGATGAAATCTAGTGGCGTCCAGGAGCTGAAGTCAGCATCTGGCATGGACTTCCTATTCATCGGAGTATCCAAGGTAACCCTGGAACAGAGAGAGAGAGAGATAAGCTCCTTTGCTCGCTGTCTGGTTCATCTAATCAATCCTGCCTGTGTTTCTTCTGTGCTCTAACAAAAGCACCAGGCTTAACCCAGAATAAGAGCACTTTTTTTTTCAATCCAGTTTCCAGGAAAATGCACTTTCATTCATTTGCAATGTTCTTGCTTGAAGCAAACATGTTATCCAGAATAAAATATTTCATCCAAAATTCACCAAAGGTCCAATAGTTTTTTCCCCCAGATATGGAAAATACAGTTTTACAAAGAATCATAGGGCTGGAAGGGACCTTGGAGATCTTCTTGTCCAAACTCCAACCCAAAGCAGCAAACCTTATATCAGGCATGTCAGACTCTCAACATCACCTGATGTCGTATCGGGACTTTTCCCCCATTGCCAGCAATGGGGTGGACACGGTTTCGGCATGACGCATCTGGCCCATGGGCCGGCAGTTTGACATGCCTATCATCCCAGACAAATGGCTGTTCAATCTTTTCTTGAAAACTTCGAGCAATGAAATACTCACAACTCTGGGTGGCAAGCTGTTCCACTGATTAACAATGTTCTGAATGTGGAGTGAACTGGAGATAAAGAGAGGCTGTTTATGTGCTCAAATGTTAATCATCAAAGCGTTTAGATCACTGTTTCTCAACCTTGGCAACTTTAAGATATATGGGCTTCAATTCCCAGAATTCCCAAGCCAGCATGACTGGCTGGGGAATTCTGAGAGTCGAAGTCCACACATCTTAAAATTGTTAACTTTGAGAAACACAGTTTTAGATAAATAAAATGGAAAGTTAATAAAATGTCCTTTCACATCTTTGGATTCACAAGTCCTAATCAGATTAAAAATGTCAAGATTGCAGCAGAGACCACACTATCAAAGTCCCACCCTCTTTTTGTATGTGTGGCACATGCTGCTGGATCTATACCCAATGTTCAAGCCACTTCTCTATGAGGTTCATCCAACTCTGCAGGAGTTTGGCACCCAGTGAATTTCGGGCCATCCCTTGAACCACATAACTTCCATGTGATTCCAGAATGACTTACGGGAGGATCGCAACAGCTGCAGCGCCAGCGGGGAGGCCACTGTTTGAACCAGATAGACTCTGGCAGAGTTGATGGACAGCTCCTTTGGCCATGCCATATGCAATCATTCCTAGAATACAGAATACAAAATAACAGAGTTGGAAGGGACCTTGGAGGACCTAGTCCAACCCCCTGCTCAAGCAGAAGATCCTATACCATTTTAGACAAGTAACTGTCCAGTCTCTTCTTAAAAGCCTCCAGTGATGAAGCACCTACAATTCCTGAAGGCAAGCCGTTCCACTGATTATTTGTTCTCACTATTAGGTAATTTCTCCTTAGTTCTAGGCTGCTTCTCACCTTAATTAGTTCTCGTCCATTGTTTCTTCTCTTGCCTTCTGGTGCTTTGGAAAATAGGTTAACCCCTCTTCTTTGTGGCAGCCCCTCAAATATTGGAACACTGCTGTCATATGGCTCCTAGTCCATCTTTTCACTAGACTGGACATACCCACTGTGACTGTCTTCATGTATTTTAGCTACCAGGCCCCTTATCATTTTAGTTGCTCTTCTCTGCACTAGTTCCAGAGTCTCCACATCTTTTTTATAATGTGGTGCCAAAAACTGGATGCAGTATTCCAGGTTTCGTAAGTATTCTAAAATGCAGTATTCTAAGGTTTTATAAAGCAGTAATACTTGATGTGATCTTGAGTCTATCCCTGTTTATGCAACTTAAGATTGCATTGCCTTTTTTTACTGCTACACATACTACTGGCTCATATTTAAGTGGCTGTCCACTAGGACTCCAAGATCCTCTCACAGTTACTGCACCTAATTTTGTTGCCTAAGTGTAAGTTACTGCACTTGGTTTTGTTGCCTAAGTGTAAGTTCCCTTACTTTTCTCTGTACTGAATTTCATTTTGTTGGATAGAGCCAGTGTTCAAGCCTGTCAAATTCATCTGGATCTTGAGCTTATCATCTGTGTTGACTATTCCTGCCAGCTTAGTGTTGTCTATTGCTGCTGCTGAGTTGCCCTTCTACTACATCATCTTAATTGTTAATGAAGATATTGAAGATATTGAATTGTTAATGAAGATATTGGGACCTAAGATGGAACCTTGGGGTATCCCACTGCTTACTTCCCTCCATGTAAATGTAGTTCCATTAAGGGCTAAACATTGTATGTAGTTTGTCTGCCAGTTACAAATCCATCTACTGGTGATGTCTATCCTACATTTTTCTAGCTTATCAAGAAGTAGGTTATGGTCTACTTTGTTGAATGCTTCACTGAAATCCAAATATACTATGTCCACAGCATTTCACTAGTCCACTAATTTGATCACTTGATCAAAGAATGAAATAAGATTTGTTTGGCATGATCTGTTTTAAACAAATCCATGTTAGATTCTGGTTAGATTCTTGTTTCTAGGTGTTCGCAGATCTGTTGCTTGATTATCTTTTCAAGGATTTTCCAAGTACTGATGTCAGCCTGATTGATCTGTAATTCCCTGTACCTGTTTTTTCCCCTTTTTTGAAGATGGGAACCATATCAGCCTTTTTCCAGTTCAGTTCACCAAGATCTTTGAAAGATATGGTTCAATAGTTCTGAGACCACATCTGCCAGCTCCTTCCTGGTGATTTGACCCTGACTGGAAGGGACACCACTTTCTTGCTTATTTTAATTTTTATTTGCACTCTGTCTTTTAATGTGTTTGGTAGGTTGGGCTATATTTTTTGTGTGTGTGTGTGAAGACAGATGCAAAGAATGAATGAAGCAGCTATGCTTTTTCTCTACTTCCCGTTAACTTCCTTACAATCTTCTCCCATTAGTGGACCAATTGTTGCCTTGACTTTTTCCTTGTTTTTTATATGTTGAAAGAAACTTTTTATTGTTTTTGACATTTGTTGCAAGTCTTACTTCATTCTGAGCCTTAGCTTTCCTGAGTTATGTTTGCAAGCTCGGGATATTTGTTGGTATTCTACCTTAATTATGTGTCCATCTTTGTATTTTTTGTACTTATCCTTTTTATTTTTTAGTTTATCAGAGAGAGCTTTGAGCAACCATGCTTATTTCTTCTCGGATTTCTTGTTTTCCTTTTTCAGTGTTATTGTACCAGACTGAGCTTTTATGATCATATTTTTAGAATTTCCCAAGTTTCTTGAGTTGTTTTGACTTTTAAGATTTTCATCCATGGAATCCTTCCCAAGCTCTGAGTTTGTTAAAATTACTTCTTTTAAAATCTAAGACATTGAAATTATGTTCTATTGTTTGTGCTTGCATTATATTGAATTCCAATATAACATGGTCACTCTCCCCCAAAGTTCTGGCAACTTCAACCCCCTCTATAACGTCTTCTCTGTTAGTAAGAATTAGGTCCAGTATAACTGTCCCTCTAGTTCCCTCCTCTAACTTTTGGCTACAAAGTTGTCAACTACATACATTTGTTAACTGGCTAGCAAAAAGTTCATCTATTTCTTCTGCTTAGTTGGGGGGGCTGTATTATATACTGTACCTATGGCAATGGCATTCTTTTTTCCTTTTATATTGACCCATATGCATTCTAGGTGGTTTTCATCCTTAGTTTTGTGCATTTCTGTACAAAAATGATGTCTTACATATAATGCAATTCCACCTTCTCTTTAATTAGGTCTGTTTCTTTTGAATAGTTTGTATCCACAAATGAAGACGAATATATGTGTCCCAATATAATGTTGCAGGATCCAATCTGGGTCGGTCACCGGGACCAGAAGTTTTGTCTTCTGAGCTTTCAAACTCGTGCTGAAGCCCATCTTCAGGGAACTTCTCTCTAGCAGAATGTGTGCTGTTCTGTATGTGGTATTTATAATGCCTGTTGTATGTGGCTTTTTAGATGTTGATTGGGGTGTGTTGATGGCTGGCTTTTAAGTCGTTGGCTGTCGTTTGCTTGTACTGCCCAGCCCTCACCTTCTAAGTACTTGATAGACTGGTGGTAAATCAGCACTGCTGTTGACTGACAAGGGGCCTGTTTCCCAGGCTTCAATCACTTCCCTGGCTGTTTTTGTGCCTGCTCATCCAACAAACTTAATAGTTGCAGAATTGAATGTATGTCCTTGTTCATTGTAGTGTGAGGTTACCAATGAGTTCGGGTCTCCTCGACTGACTGCTCGCTTGTGTTCTTGCAATCTGATGGTTAGCTTCCTCCCCCTCTTCCTACATAGTCATTAAATTAACAACTGTAATAATTCACTTAACAACTGTGGAAAAAAGTTCATAAAATGGAGCAAAATTGACTTAACAAATGTTTCACTTAGCAACATAAATTTTGGACTCAATTGTGTTTTAAGTTGAGGACTACCTGTGTATTTCCTAACCATTCAACCCCATGACATTGGATTTTTCTGTTTTCCACAGAAATAGCCTTAATGGCAACCGTATCTTCCTCAGTCATCTCATGGCTAAGAATAAAGTTTGACTTTCAGCTGAAGCCTGTTATGAAATGCACCTTAGTGGATATAAGGCACTACCTGAAAGCTGACCACATCAGATGGCCTCTTGAAGCCCACCTTCATTGCATCAGTGTGGGAATATAAGAGCAGGCTCAAGAAATGACTTGCAAATATGTTAATTTTAGCTATCATTTTAATATATTATGGACTGTTTCATGTTGCTGTTTTTAATGGGTTTTTGTAACACATTAAAAATTAGTATTTAGCAATAAATACCAATGCTTCAAATTATGTTTTACAGATAGTCCTTTGACTTACAGCCACAATATTTGTTGTTAAGCAATCTAGTTACTAAGTGAGGTATCATGTGACCCATTTTTATAACCTTTTTTGCTATAGTTGTTAAGCAAGACATAATGTAACTGCAACTTGGGATCCCCCCTGCCAGCTTCCCCATTGACTTTGTCTGTCTGTTTTTTTCAAGAGGCAACTGGACTTTCTTGTTTTTCTTTGAAGATGTTTCGCTTCTCATCCAAGAAGCTTCTTCAGTTCTGACTGGATGGTGGAGAATGTAAGGATTTATATTCCTTGCAGCCAGTTGATCATTTGCTTTCTTTTAGAGTCGTTGAGGCCACTTGGAGGTTTATCTGTGTCTTCAGGTCCTGAATAGTGCAAATGGGTGTAGAGCCTTCTTGGAACTGCTGAAAGTCATTTTTTTCAGTGCCATAGTAAGGTCAAATGGTCACTAACTGAATGGTTGTAAGTTGAGGACTATCTGTATTATAAAATGAACTGATGAATTTATTAAACTATTCCATATTTATGAATTTAAATTGGAAGTCCCTTCCTTCCTTCCTTCCTTCCTTTCTACCTACAACAAAACTGGTTATTCTGCTACTTGACCTGGATACCCTTTTTCTTAAATGAAGGGCAAAATGTGAATTGTAACCAAAAAAGACATCTAAATTCATTTAGAATCAAAGACCTTGTCTGACTGTGGATATCCTAATAATGATATCCTACTATATATTTCAGACACTAGTCTCTTAATGAAAATAGGAATCCTTAATCCTCCACCTTTTCTTTGAGCTGGAGTTCTGTATACAAGAGCAGATTCCCTGATCTGAACTAGAAGCTCTCTGCCAATTCAGCAAAAGATGGTGAAAACTCCTAGTATTTCAATGGTCTAAGACAGATATTTTTCATTTGCAATTTTTAAAATGTTATTAACATTGGTTTTATTATATTAGTCACTGTTTCAATATGGATTCCCGTAGCAGAATGGAGATTTTAATTTTTAGCAGAAAGCACAACATTTCTGTAGACTTTATACAAACACAAAACTACTAATAGAGCCAGGCCTATTTTATAAGGATTGAGTCAGAGTGTTGAAGGTCATTTGAAGCAAGAAAATACAAAGGTCTAATCCAAAGTAAACCAGCAGAATCAGCATTATTACTTAGGGAACAAAATACAAGCTTAGGTCTTAGCCTTTTTGCAACTTATATTCAAGCTAAAGCACTTTCTGTACAAGCTAAAAGCTTTCCACAAACATACATACATTCTTTCTAACCTATACACTCAACCCTAACAGAATTTTAAAAGTTGTCACTGGAGGATAGAATTTCTACAACTGAAATTTCCAGTCTGAATATTAAAGGCCAAGGAAAATGTTGACCAAACCAACATGCACACCCCAGGAACATTTCCATTTTACCTGGTGTTCCAACTAATGCTGCTTTTGCACCTGTTAGAGTTAATAGGCCCCCTTCCTTCAGGTATTTCGTAGCCAAGTGACTAGAGATGGTTGAAGTCCAAACACTTTGCTTCCACATCAGGTCACTGTTTTTGTATAAAGCTAATGGATGGACAAGAAGATATGGAACATGTTAGACATCATGAAACATATCCACCTTCTGCAGAGAGCATCACCAACTGTTCTCTTTGCCTGATGAGGTCTTGTTCTGCAGAAGACACCTGAGAACTGCTCCCTAGCTTAGCTGCCAGACATGAAATAGGAATTTAACTCCAGCCTGCCCAGTCAGATACCTATGGGTTTAACAATGGGATGGGCATACATTAAAAAACAACTGATGGCATTCAGTCACCTGTAACATTCAAAGGAAGTCTCAGAACATCTAGATCATTCTCCCAGTTCAAAAATAAATTGTCAAGTGCAATCTAATTGTGCTCATTTCTCAACACTCCTTTTTAATCTGTTTTAAATTTAATAAGACATCAATGACTCAATCCTGCTTCAAGTTCAGACACTCCCCTATTAACCATCTGGTTTCAAGACACAGACAGGAGTGAAAAACAGAAAACATACACCAATTCCTTTGATCAACTTCATAGCTTGCTAACTCCATTTCCCATAACCAACAAACTGGGACTTAAATCTTCTTACATACTAAGATTGCAAGTTAAAGGAGGCAATTTTATTTTTCAGGAAGCACATTAACAATGCCAGGTCTGCAGTTCAACCATTACACAAAAGTTGCATTTGAACAATCTGAACTATTTCTACTCACATCAGGTTATGTAAAGGGAGGATCTACACTAACCTATTGCTGCCCTACAAGGCCCATGCAAATCTTTTTGTTAAATATTATGAGTATGCCAAGAATTTGGAATATAAACTATATCTGAGAGCCAGTAATTAAGGTGCTGGCCAACAAACCAGGAGGCCTGAGTTCTAATGCCGCCTTATACATGAAAAGTGGCTGCATGACTTTGGGCCAATCATCAGGAGACCGTACGTTCTAGTTCCACCTTAGGCATGAAAGCCGGATGGGTGACTTTGGGCCAATCACTCTCTCTCAACCAACCCACTTCACAGGGTTGTTACTGTGGGAAAAATAGGAGGAAGAAGGTGTATTATATATGTTCACCGCCTTGAGTTACTTACAGTTTGTTTTTTTTTAATGGATTTACAGACATTTCTAAAATTCTGTTTTCACTTTGTCATTATGGGGTACTAAGTGTAGATTAATGATAAAAATAAATTTCAACTGCAGAATCAGACTACAGCATAACAAAATTGACTAAAGTGAACGGGAGCTGAATATTTTCTGAAAACACTGTATAAAGTAATAAAGGTGGGATAAAAATCAAATAAGTAAAATAGAAATCCCAAATACTTTCTAGTCGCTATCTTAGCAATCATAGACAGCTTCAGGCCAGACTCAACTGTGCAACACAACCCTAATGAAATGCATTTAAACTTAGAAACTTAGAAATCTGCTGTGAAATCTTCTATTTTTCTCCAACAGGCTTTGTTTTCAATGCCAGCCAGTCCAGGACACTGCTGGAAGTCAGGAAACAGATGTTGTCTCACAGCTACTATTGTATCAATGGAATTTCAGGGCTGGAGACTTCAGAAAGGCATTAAATGGGGCAGCTATAGCATTCTTTGCTGAGCAGCTCCATCACAGACCAGAAAGAGGCCATTCTGAACGACCACGGGAAAGAGAAAGCAGAGAGCATTTTGTGAACTTACATTTCGCCTTGGCACTGCCTCCAGCCCATCCACCAGCCACACAGAGGATAGCATCCACCTTGTTTTCACCCAGGACTTTTCTGACATCTTCCGTTACCTTTCAAAAGTCAGCGTTGGGGGAGCACAGTTACAGAACAAGCACCAGCAACTTTAATTTGTAAACATTTCAACCAGCCCTCACCAAAGTGGTACACTGACTCTCTAAAACGAGATAGATAAATATTTCTGCATATGGAATCATTAGAAGCCTGGCTTTGTTGGTGTTAAGCTTTCGGCACATCTTAACCTGTAATCTGAAATCGTCCAGCTTTGGCACAGATTTTATTAAACTAAAGTAGCAGGGCTGCAGTTTTTCTCTCTTACTTCCCATACTCAGATGTAAAGGAGTAGAAAGAGCTCTACTTGCCTGGTTAAAAAGGAGAACTTTCCAAGTTCCTTCCTTACCTGTGACAGAGCAATCGTCATATTCTTTTCACTATTTTGCTGTTATTAACAACATTGGGAATTTGTAAAATAACAAGATTTAAAAATAACAGAAAATGGGATTCTAAGGGAGGGAAGCTTGGATTCTTTTCCTTGGGGGGGGTAGGAGGGCAGCGGTGTCACTTTGGTATGAAGAAGATGCATCAAAATTTGTTTGGATGAGTTAAGACTGAGTGAGACTTACAAAACAGGTTGTGAAAAGCTACTGGGAAAAATAAGACTGATTCTTTCAGGAGTGAAATATGACAGATGCAGAACAGATGCTAATGTTGTAACTAATGGAATGGGGAATTTTGCAAAACTTTTCATGTTCCTTTTTCCCTCAATTTTCATCTCGTTAACATGCATGAACCATACATCCTTACCACTAAATAGGAGCAAGAAGGCAAAGCATAATGCTTAATATAAGCCTGTGCTTTGTAAGGCTGGTCTGGCTCTCTTTTCCATTCTCAGTTGTGGATCTCCCAAGAGGACTGTCAAAAAAGTCAGGACCGCAACTTTGATGGCATCACAGGAAATCCTTTATGTTTTAATATGCACTGAAAATACAGATACTGTAGTCCTTGACTTAATACCACAATTGAACCCAAAATTACAGTTGAACAAAATTACAATTGAACCCCAAAAACTTACAGTTAAGTAAGTTTTGCCCCATTTTATGATCTTTCTTGCCACAGTTGTTAAGTTAGTAACATGACTGTTAAGTGAATCTGGCTTCCCCATTAATTTTGCTTGTCAGATCACAAAAGTCATAAATACAGTATAAACCAGTTGCCAAGCGCCCAAATTTTGATCACATGACCATGGGGATGCTGCAATGGTCGTAAGTATGAGAAATTTCCCCAGAAATTTTTCAGTGCCACTGTAACTGTAGAGTCACTAAATGAATGGCTGTAAGTCAAGGATTACCTATATATCACATCTAAGGGAGGCCTACGTGGCACAAATTGGACTCTGGCATGTTTTCCTTTTTCTCCAATATACTAATCAATGCAAAATCCTCAGGTTATGAAAGGTCTAACTCCTGTAATGGAGTAAACAGTTGTGAAATGTTTCTTCAAGCTTTCCAACACCAGCACTGTTGTTTTAGCAGCCACGTGACAGGCAAAACTTCAATCAGAATAGTGTCCACCCTTCAGTGCCTCCTAATTTTTATGGATATTATGGGAGAACAGTGGTGTTAGTTTATGGTAGTCAAAAATGAGGAGTCTAGTAGCATCTTTTTGGAAGAATGGTTTTTCATTTCAATGCCTTCATATTTGTTCCTCTGAAAAGCATCCATCTACCAGACTCCACCTGATTTTGCAATAATTTAGAACAGGATTTCCCAACCTTGGCAATTTTTCAGATTCATGGACTTCAATTCCCAGAATCCCCCAACCAGAATGAGATTTAGGACAATTAGGAACAGTGATTGATTATCTGCCATCGAGTTTGTGTCTTACCAGCTACAAAGATTTTTGTTCCTAATCTGGCCCTAAGAAATGGAATCCATTTGCTGACCTATCCCAAATATTTCAAGCTTTGAATAGGAAACTGAAGTCAACATTTTCGCAGTTTCCTCTGGGCTCTTTTCCAATCGCAAAATGCCTAAAAACTTGGATCCCGCTTTTGTTTTGGTTTTACCTGCTCTGCTTGTTCCACAAACGAATCGCCCATTTGTACCACGACGTTGGCGCTCGCCTCTTGATTTTCGGCTAAATCAATGCTGAGCACCCACTGCGGGGGGGGAAACACACATACACACACACCAAGATTTTGTTTTGATGTTTGCAAACGGGGTTGCATTTGCCCCAAAGCTACGCTGCAGAGAGCGAAGCGCTTCGTTACAACCGCCTCTCCGCGCCCGGCCACGCAACATCTTTAAGTGTGCGTTCCGCACAGCGGCCTCCCCACCACCGACCCGCCCCCCGTCCTTGCATGCGAGGGTGCAGGAAAGTCGCCGTCTCCAAGGTTTCTTGCATCGAGGCCGGAGCTTCGCAGAGCGGCTTTTGCCAACCTTTCCGCACCCCGCCAGGTCTTTACCCAGTTCTTCGCCCGCAGGTGCCTCACGCAGGCGGAGCCCAGCGCCCCTCTACCGCCGTAAACCAACGCCCGGGAGGCCTCCCCTGCTGCCATGACCGCTGCTCCGACGACAAGTAGCAGCTCTTGCGGAGAAAGGGAAGCGGAAGGCGGGCATCCGAGCTCTCCGCCCCCGCTGGGTGGGTTAAGTGGCGGAAAAGGAGGCACGGCCCGTTAGGCTAACCTGGTTTGTCTCCTCCGCACAGGGAGGAGCTGTGCTTGTCAGTCTCGGCAACTTTAAGCGGCGGGGACCCATCTCCCAGAATCCCCTCAGCCAGCATGCTGCTCCAGCGAATCTAGCAGGGAGATGTGCACAAATCCTCCAAAGGTGTGAGGGTAACCCTGGCAAGAGCTTGCATCAGAGGGTAGGACAAGAAGCAATGGATGGAAGATCATTAACGAGAGATCCAACCTAGAATTAAACTGTTAAGCCAAAAAATATATATAAGACACTAATAGAGGCAGCAGAAAAAGATCCCTTCTCCCAAAAGGGGAGTTCTAAAAGTCAAGGCAAAAATTGTTAGGTGGAAAAGAAATTTATAGTGCCCAATATTCTGTGCCAATCATTTTCAAATGTTGGATGTCACTCTTAGCTTCCAGTCAGGTTTGCACATTCCTCTCAAAATTCTTCACAGCCATGGTTTTCCTTAGTACATGACCACTGGCTGTCCATTTTCAAGGGTTGTTTTCCTGCCTTAGCTCTTAGTTCAGTGCATCCAGGTTTGTAATATCCAGTTAAAGTTAGCCAGTATGCCAGGCTATTGAATTTTCTTAAATTGCACATAGTGAGCTCTAGGAATCCCAATCTGGGCTCACCAGTGCAAGATATTCAGGGCTGAGATTTGGGATCTCTTCTGTTGCTTCCTTAGTCAGTGCATAAGAATTGCAAATCACCTGAGGGGGGCTAGTTCCCTCCCCCTTGGAATCAGTTGGAAGTTGTTCCTACAAAGCTCTGGTGTAATA